TGGGTTGCTCTTTCTGGCACCTCTTAAATAGCATATGGCCAGCACTGAGGGTCCTGCTGGGGTGCAGAGCTCAGAGAACGAGATGGGCCTTGTTCCCAGGTCTGTCAGTCTGACACAAGATGCACAGCAGTGGCCAGGAATGTTTACTGTATTATTATTTTCTTGCACAGCCTGAAAAATGTCTCCTTTGGGAACTACAGCTTCCCATGGCCATGCAGACTAGGGGACTCTAGAATCTTCCACTCCCCCCAACCTCAAAGGAGCATTTCTTGACTTGTCCTTTGGGTTTCCGGATGGCTCATTTTATAACTTTTGCAAGTGGAGCCATGTCAGATTAAGGAATATGGGGACAATGCACTGATTCAGAGTCTCAGGTCCATATACCACTGACCTTGACACCATTAATTCAGCAAAAGCTATGAGTGGACTTACAGGATAGGACAGAGGCAGCTTTGGCAACAGCTCTCCCTTTCTGCTAGAACAATGATACTCAACATTGTGTCCCCAGAGGTTCTTGGACTAAAACTTCCAGAAGCCTTCACTACTAGCTGTGCTGGCCAGGATTTCTGGGAGTTGGTGTCCAAGAACATCTGGAAACCCAAGGTTGGGAAGCATTGGCCTAGAAAAACCAATGAAGATCACTTACCTGCACGAAGACAGAGAGCTGTCCAACTGAGGATGAGGGCTTCATGATAAGCAATATATTCTCACAGCTTCTGTTCTATTTCAGTTATAGGGATGCCTTGTATAATTGGTCTAGATCTTTTCTGAATTGTAGATTTTCTGTTTGGTGCCACGAAACATTTTGTGTTTGTGTTTGGTTGCCACAAAACATTTGCACTGTGACACATGCCTTCCTTCTGTGTAATACTGGGTTGAATTATAGAACAAAAACCAGAAAGGACTGTAAGGTTCCTCAGGTCCAACCATCTGCCAAAGTAAGAAGTGCACAACTACAGCATTCCTCACAGGTGGAAATCCAATCTTTGTTTAAGAGTGTCCAGTGAGACTAGTGCCTTCTGAGATAATTCATCCTGCTTTTACAAGTAGGAAGCTCTCACTAACATTTAGTCCTGAATATTCTTTCTGGTCATTTGTTTCCATTAATTGGGGTCCTACACTCTCAGGCCTCCAGCTTCCATGTAATATCCTTTCAAATATATAAGGATGGCTATCCTATCACCTCTCAATCTTCTTCAGACTAATATGTCCAAATCTCTCAACCATTCCTTACAGGGGTGGGTTTCTGGACACTTTTTTATTTGATTATCCTCCTTTAAACACGCTCCAGACCTTCAATATCCTTCTCAACCTGCAGTGTCCAGGACTGGACACAGTACTCCAGATGATGTCTGACCAAAGGAGAATAAATATATAAGATTTGGAGAAAATAAATATGGAAAGAATAAAGAAAGAAGTAAAAGATAATGGTTTAGTAAAATTGCACTGTATAAAATGAAAATATTGCCAAAATTTAATTTTTGTTTTGGATGATTCCATTTAAATATTCAGAATGAGAATGGAAAGAAATACAAACAATAATAAATGAATTTTGTGACAGAGATAAGAAAACCAGGAAACAAAAAGATGTATCTATCACAAAAAAGAGGTTTGAGTTGCCAAATATTAGTAAACATTATGTAGCAAATCAATTAAGAATTATTCTAGATATCATAACACAAAATAAGGAAATAATATGAACAACAAGAGTTATATGAAATGGGAGATTTACAAGAAATTATTTATTTATTTATTTATTTATTCTATTTATATCCCGCCTATCTAGTCGATTAAGACCACTCTAGGTGGCTTACAACAAGGGGTACAACAATGAATAAAAGCAGTTTTAC